GTAATTATTTATATTTAATTTTGTATAAAAATCATCAATGATACACCTTTAAAACGTGCCAATTTTGACTCTTAAGATGTGAAACATTGCCTATGCTTTGAATTTATCTTCAGAGATCAACCATAAATACTTGGATTACTTAAAGGTTAAGAGACACAGACGCATGTCCAATGAATAAATTGTATATTGCATTGTATATGATATTGAATGCTAGAAGAGTAGATATATTTTAAATGGCACAGCTGTAGCGGATATGAGTAAATATACCAAATTCCAATTAGAGAGGAAATGCTGCTAGGAGAACACAAAACCAATATACGCTCTCTTCCACTCTCATAAACAAGTAATAAATGGAATATACAATTTGATGCCTCTGCAAACCCATATTGCTATATGCAAGCCTTCTGAATCTCAAATAAAAATTGTGGGTAGGTATATTTGATTGGCTATTGAATGTGGGTAAGCAATCCGAACCAATTTCAAATTGAATCAATGCAAATATTTACCAGCTTTATTTTTCATGATAGCCCAAAATAAACTCGCCCAGTTGTTGCCCGTCTTGTTCTTTGTTGTTTGTTGTTTGTAAGGCAATCAAAAGTTTTCAAAAAGTTGGCGCACACATACATTCATACAAATGTAGATATATGTGTGTGCATAAGCATAAATTAATAAAAGGCTGTGACAAAGAGAATTCCTAAAATAACATAGCCTAGTTTAAGGCTAGCCCTCCTTCCTGCTTATTTGCGGAGCAATTTGAGCGCTAGTTTTGTTTTCATTGTTTTTGTTGGCATCATTTCGAAATACGCAGCAAGCAGTCGCAATGGCAACAACAACARCAACAGCAACATCAAATGCAAGGGCATTCACACACACGAGCATACACAGACACACGCAGTCACAGAGAGCAACTGCAAATAGTGTAAATGTCCTTGAAAGCGCGCAAATGGCAAAGCCAACAGCGTTGGCCCTGGCGACGCGAATACAGGTGAAGGCTGTGCAGGACGAAAATCGGGGCCAGCATGCTATCATGCTCGAAATCCTTGTGCCTCAAATTCTAATAAATAGTGAAGATATTTTCCAATATGGAAAACTTACAGATAAATATAAATAT